AGAAGGACATCATGCTGGGTAAAGTGGAGGGTCACTGAAAAACAGGAAGACCCCCAACTATATGGATTAGCACAGTGGCAGCATCAATGGGCTCAAGCATAACAATTATGAGGATGATGCAAGACCAGGCAGTGATTTGTTCTATTGTGCAGAGGGTCCGTATGAGTCAGAACCAGCTTGGTGGCACCTAACAACAGCAACAACTCTGCCTTAAATTTCTCCCTCTTCCCTTTCTCCTCAATCCAAGCCCTGTTAAATATGCCTATTAAACTTGCTCTCTTTTGTTTGTCCCTTTATTTATGTTCTGGTCATTATCACCCTAACACTGGTTCTTCCCTCTTTCCCTGGTTACATCTTCCCTCTGATTCATGATTCCTGCTGTCAGTTTCCTCCTAAAACATACTCTCATCTCATCATCTCCTTCTTAAAACTTTGAACTGACTATAGGAGAAATCAAAATTGGCAGAAGTCAGGCCAAATTCTGCCCGCAGTTCTATGTTATTTAGCCTGATAGTTTATTTCACTGAGCCACCATTTAAACATCAAGAGATTTTACATAAAGATCTGCATTTTTTTAGATTTTAGACCTGACAGCTCTGGCCTTGTATGGTACCTCCTTCATTCATTGTCTGGGACTGCATACCAGCTACCATCCCTCCCTTTTTTTTTTTTTTCCCAAAGTTTTTATTGTGAATTGAGTAAACTTGTACATGCAACAGTTTATACGCTTTGGTTCCTCTCAGTGATTATAGTCCTCTCCATGCAACAACAGTTACTCTGCTTCCTCCCTGTGACTCCTATTTCCACTCCACCCATCTTCCCATCTCAACTTTGTTTTTAGGGAAATGTTGCCCTTTTGATTTTGAGTAATTGACCGTCCTGTGGGGAGCACACCTTACTAGTGTTGTTGTTCCCCCCTTTATGCTTATCTACTGCTTGGCTAAAAATTGGGCCATGAGGGTGAGTTCCTTTCCAGACCTGAGCGGTGGTCAAGAGCCATAATCTTAGGTTCCTCCAGTGGCTTTCTGACCAGTGAACCCAGCTGTTAAAAATTTGTTTAAATAATTTTGAGTTTTGTTCCACATTTTCTCCTACTTTGATGTGAGACCTTTTAATGTGATCCCTTTCAGAGTAGTTGGTAGTGGTAGCTGGGAATCATCTAGTTCTTCTGGTCTCGGAGTCGTGGAGACTGATGTTCACAAGTTCCATTAGTCCATTGGACTAATTGATTCCAAGCATCTTCAATTCTCATAACTCTTTATTGTGCACATGGAGAGACCAATAGCTGCACCGTAGACAACCACTCATGAGTTTTTAGATCCCAGATGCTCTTCACCAAAGTAGGATGCAGACCATTGTCTTTGTAGACTGTGTTATGCCAATTGACCATGGTGCCCCTGACACTATGGTCCTGAGCGTACTAGCCCAGCAACTCACTGCCTTCAGGTGTTTGATAATATCTTGGACATGTCCATCATTTTGCCCGTTGTATGCTTCACCACATTCATAGCTGTGTTTTCAGGAAAGGTAAATACTCATGTATAAATATCTTCTTTCAAACTCACATATTTTGGGTATATTCCCACTCTTCCTCCTATGCCCATTCAGGCTGTATCCTTGTCCAGGTATCTACCTGCAGAACACTGATGTTCCAAGGTTGTGTATTTATCACTATTTACCTCGATCCCATTTAGCCCTTGCATACCTCCCTGTGTTTTCACCTGTCTTCATCATTCTTCTGCAGACCTCCCTCTTCTTTTATGTTGTCCTCCCCATAACCTAGTTAACACGTGTTTCCCCTCTACCCAGTGAATTACTCACCCTTCCCTCCTACCTCTGGTAACCATCAAAGAATGTTTGTTTTAGTATGAAAACCTTTTCTTGAGTTTTTACAATAGTGATGGTGGTGGTCATATGCCATCAAGTCGGTTCTGACTTACAGCAAGCCTGTACAGGATTTATGTATGTAGAGCATATAGCCTGGCACCTGCCTGCTTGACTTATCTGAAGCACTTAAATCCCTTGTAAAGAGCCTGGTGACTCTTGGTTAAGCATTGGACTAGTAACCACAAGGTTGACAGTTCAAACCCACCAATCACTCTGCAGGAGAAAAATGAGGCTATCCATATCTGTAAAGATTTAGTCTTGTTAACCCTAGGAACAGTTCTTAGGGGTCACTGAGGAAATCCTAAGGAATTGTCCAGTGGGGTCACTGAGAGTCCAAATTGAGTCAGTGGTAGTGGGTAAGGACCCTGAGGGCAATTTGTCACTCCTAGTCAGTTGGCTTCCAAATCTTGACCCCTCCATTCTCTATTTTCCTCATCCTTTTAATCACTATTATCTCTTCCCTGTTTATTGCTGCCCCTAAGTCACTCTTCTCTTTGGAAGTCTTCCTTTTTTTCACTGACCTTCCATGACTAAACATGATGTCCTTCTCCAATGACAATAGGTCCAAAGTATGAGAGATGAAGTCTACAGCAAACAGACTTTCTTAGTTATCTAATGCTGCTATACCAGAAATACCACAAGTGGATGGCTTTAATAACCAGGAATTTATTCTCTGTTTAGGAGGCTAGTAGTCCAAATTCAGAGTGTGGGCTCTTGGGGAAGGCTTTCTCTTTGTTGGGTCTGGAGAAAAGGTCCCTTTGTGCTTTCAGCATCCTTAGGCCTAGTATTCTTTGGAAATCTTCATACATCTTGCTACCAATCTTCCCCAGAATTTAGGAGCTTCACAGTGTGGGAAGCCCAGGTCCAAAGGACTCACTCTACTGCCAGCTCCTCAATCTTGGTGGTGGTAGGGCCTTCTGAGCTTAGCTCACTTCTCTCTTCTTTATATCTCAAAAGATATTGCCTCAAAACATAACTTAATCCTGTAGATTGAATCTGACCTCATTAACATCATGTTGTTGTTGTGAGATGCTGTGGAGTCGGTACAGACTCATAGCGGCCATATGCACAGCAGAACGAAACGCCACCTGGTTCTGCGCCACCCTCAAAATGGTTGCTATGCTTCAGCCCATTGTTCTGCTACTGTGCCATTCCATCTCGTTGGGGGGCCTTCCTCTTTTCACTGACCCTCCACTTTACCAAGCGTGATGTCCTTCTCCAGGGACTAGTCCTCCCTGATAACATGTCTGAAGTATGAGAGACGAAGTCTGGCCATCCTGGCTTCTAAGGAGCATTCTAGCTGTACTTCCAACACAGATTTGTTTGTAATTTTTTTTTTGTAGTCCATTGTCCTTTTAATATTGTCCTCTAACATCATAACTAAAATGCATTGATTTTTCTCCAGTATTATTTATTTATATCTAGCTTTTGTATTCATTATGTTCTTAAGTGTTGTCGAGTGGGTTCCAACTCACAGTGACTCTGTATAGAGTTTCTGAGGAGCAGCTGGTGGGTTTGAACTGCTAACCTTGTGGTTAGCAGTTCAGTGCTTATCCTACAGTACCACACCAGGTGATTGAAAATATCAAGGCTGGGTCAGGCTCAATATCACTATCTTAAATATCACCCTCTTTTTAGATCCGTATGTAACACATCCATTGCAGAAATAATTCTGTGTACTTGTTTTCTTAACATTTAGTAGATATGAAAGGACTTCAAAATGTTTCGTGGATAAATGGAATTAAAAATTGTCAACTGTTATAAATAACAGTTTAAAATATTTTTTTAAATGGAATTAGCAGATAATGGATTTTTTTTTTTTAATTAAGTGATAGTTTACCTGGGAGAACATTAGCTTTACATTCATTCTATCATTTTGTGTTTTTTTTTAAGTTTCTATTGTGAATTATGTGATAGTTTACATGGGAGAACACCAGCTTTACATTCATCCTAATGTATTTCATTTCACTGCAATGATTACAGTCCCTTCCATGCATTATCAAACAACCAAAGGGTATACCTTGCAAGTCTGTCCCCGGGACATCAGCACACAGCCCCTCTCCCTCCCTGAGTCCAGAGTCCCCAGCTGCTCCATCTCTCCACATCTTCATCTCTGCCTCTATCTCTCGTGTCACTGTTCCTCGGGGTAGGGTCCCGCTCTCCACTCTTCTCCCAGGGACCTCCACTCCTAGACTGCAAAATCAACCTACCTTTACATTTGCAACACTCACAGTCAGTCCTTATAGCAGTTATTCACTATTGAACCACAAGAGTCCTATCCCCATCTCCTTTCATCAGCCCTGCCCAGACAGGTTGGAAACCACTCAGTTGAGATTCTACATTCTACATTCCCTTGCCCCCTCTGGAACTAGGCTCCCTCTTGAAAGCTTGTAAGCCAGTCACTTCTTGCCTTTGTAGCCCCCCATTTTGGGTAGCCAATGTCTAAGTTGGCTACTGAGGGGGTGGGAATGATCCTCGCTATAAAGATTTGTTCCCTCTTTTGAAACACTGCATCCATTAGGTGTAGGTCAAATTCACCAAATTGTAGTGGATTACTCTTTTTCCTCTTCTTTCTTCCTCTAGTTGAGTCCTGATCATCCAGCCATTGAAGCCAGATCACATGGTTACTGTCTGCAAGTGTAGGTGTGATAATGGACTTTTCCCACAAACTTTTTGAAGTCCCTTCTTAGACCTTTTACCCCTCTCACCCAGTATTTAGTGCACTCTGCCATCAAGAGCTTGATCATGAGCTTGAGGGCAGGGACTGCATTTTATTTTTATAGCCCTAGCATCTAGCACATCAGTGGACTGTGGAATGAATTCAGTAAAATCAGACATGTAATAATTACATAATAAATATCGGTTTTGTTTTCCAAAGTAACATGCATCTCCAGTACGCAGGAGTTTAGCAGGTGTGGGGGAACAGCGCAGTTGAGCATAATGGAAGAATTGTGTACCTTACAAGGACCAGTGTGTGTTTTGATGCATCCCATCATTTCTTTTTCATACAACTCACCGATATTCTTTGTTGCTAGTTTCCCATCAGTCTTGAAATCTCCCAAGTCTTTTTCCAAACTCAGGTAACGATGTGCCGTTTCTTGTTTTATTTACAGAGGCCTGGTGTTTAAGTTTGGCCGCACTGAAGACCTATGGCAGTGAGAACATTTACATTTCCTACAACACAGCAAACCTTGCATGGGTTTTTCTACAGCTCACTCGTAATGTTTTGTAATGCCATTTTCTAAACTTATTTCTGAATGTAATCTGGCCTTACAGTTGTGTAGTACTAAAATCATGAGCACTTCCAGTGTAAACAAAGTAACCTATTGTGGTGTGCACTTGATTAATTTATAACATGTTATCATGGTATAATTTGTAAAAATAAAAATTACAAAAGAAATTACGGATATATGTACATGAATATTTGTCATATCTAAGGTCCACAACTGCAATTAAAGTACTTTGAGGATTCAATGTATTTACTTAAATGTAGCATCTTTAGTATTACATGTTAAATAAAATATAAACATTTTATCATTCTTAAAAACGTCTCAGCAGTTAGAATTGTTTCTCGCTGTACTTTGTATTGGCTTATACAGTTTTACTACAAATTCTGTAAACATTTCTGTGTAAATAGCTACTGAGGACAGTGAAAGGAACGTGTCATCACTGTTCTGTGGGGAATCTCTCCCACTCTGTCGAGAATTCCAAGGACTTGGAGGGATTGCCCAGCTGGGACACTTCGTCCTGATGGGACACCAACAGTCATTTCACATCCACCATTGAAGGAAGAGAAAAAGGATTAGGAGACTTAATGCTCCAGTCCCATACTCCGGTGACCTTTTTTCTCGTGGTGGTGATGGTCTCATGAAAGAATTGGATTCCATGTTTTTGTTCTGTTTAGAAGACTGAACCACTAAGCTCATGCTTAGGTCAATGACAGCTACAAATACTATTGGTGATTTTCATAGTCTTTCCTTAAGAGGAACTCTGTTATTCCGCTAGACTTCCCACCTTAGCAAAATGGAATTAACTTTTATAAAACTTTTTATTGTGAATTAAGTGAAGGCTTACAGAGCTGATCATTAGTTTTACATTCAACAAATTATATACTTTGTTTCATTACAAAGATTGCAGTCCCCTCCGTGCACCAACAGTTTACAGTTTTAACCTCCATTCACTTTAATTAGTACATTCCTCCCTATGTCTCCTGCTACCTTCATCTTTCCTCTGCTAACCTCCCTCTTGTATATTGCCTGCCCTGTCACCCATGTTAAAATGTGTCTACTTTCTAGCCCATGAATAATTTTTCCTTCTCCACCCCCCGTAGCCATTATTGGTTGATTAAGAAAACCTTTTGTTGACTTTTTACAACATTGGTCTCATATATTTATCCTTTTGTGGTTGACTAATTTCACTCACCGTAATGTCCTCCAGGTTCCTCCATGTTGTGAGGGTGTTTTCCAGATTCATTATTCCTTATTCTTCAACAGTGCATAGGATTCCATTGTGTGTGTATATCACTGTTTGTTTAACCTTTCTTCTGTTGTTGGCCATTTAAACTGGCTCTATGTGTTGCTATAGGATAAGTGTTGGACTGGTAACCACAGGGTTTGTAGTTCAAACCCACCAGCCACTCCTTGGAAACACTATACAGGGTCACTATGAGTTTGAACTGACTCAATGGCACTTAACAATAGCATTATCTTTTTGATGTGACACTTATAGACAGCATATTGGAGGATCCTGTTTTCTTATCCATTCTGCTCTCTTTGTCTCTTGACTGGGGCATTTAATCCATCACATTCAGTGTAATTATCAATAGTTATAAATTGATTACTGTCATTTTGCTCTGTGTTTTTTGTGTGTGTGTGATGCTGGTTTCTTTAGTCCACATAATTTTCTGTGCTGTGTTTATTTTGTTCATAGGTTTTCTTTTCATTTTCTTTATTTCTGTTGTGTTGATATTTACTAGATCTTTTTGGTTTTCATCTTTTATTTTGATGTGCAGGTGTATTAATTTTCTTTGAGGTTGTCCTGTAATTTATTAATTTTTCCCTATTTAAAACATTCTGTTTTATCTTGAAATCTACTTGACTTCCTCACCATTTGGAAGTTGTGTTCTGCACGGCGCCCTCTTTTTGCTTTGTAGTTGATTTCATTATACATTGATATCCCTGGTTCCTATTTTCAGTCTTGTAGGTTTGTTTTACTTTTAAATACTTGTGTATCTGGATGGAGTTCTGGGGGTGTTGTCATGTATGTTAATCTCAAGTTGTTGTCTGCTGTTGTTGGTTCTCAGACCAAAGAATAACCTTTAATATTTTTTGTAAAGTTGGTCTGGTCATTATAAATTCCTTTAATTTCTGTTTATCAGGAAATGTCCTAATTTCGCCATTATATATATTTGAGTGACAGCTCTGCTGGGTAGCTGATTCTTGGTTGATGATTTATTTTTTTCTTTCAGAGTTTTGTGTCTGTCATCCCCTTGCCTTCTTGCCGGCATGGTTTCTGCTGAGAAAGCAGAGTTAAGTTTTTCCCGAGTTGCTCTCAGGATTCTTTCCTTGTCGTTGGTTTTGGAAAGTTTGATTATGATCTGTCTTCATGATTTTCTTTTGGGAGCGTCATGTTTTGGGGTCATTCAGCTTCTTGTATGCATTATGCATGATGTTAGGAAGTTTTCTTCCAACAACTCTTGAGCAAATATCTCAGCTTTTTATTGTCTCTTCCTGTTCAGGAATTCCAATGATCCATTAGATACCTCTTCGTGGTGTCTCACATAACGTCATCTTTGGATTTTTTCATTCTTTTTACTGATTGTTCTTCTAGCATACTACTATTGAGAGATTTAGCTTCAGGCTCACTAATTCAGGCATCCATTGCTTCACATCTATTCCTTTGCTCTTTCAATATATTGTCCATTTCTGACATTTTAGTATTCAGCTTCTGGATTTCTAATAGCAGGCTTCGTATTATTTCAGATTTTCAATCATTTATATATTTGTTCTTGTAGTGTTTTCCTGTATTTTTCTAAAGATTTTTCTGTGTTCTCCACGCTTTCCTCAATCTTTCTGCCAATCCTTATAACATATCTGAATATCATTCTTTTGAAATCTTTTCAGTGAGTTTCATTACCTTTTCTTGCTCAGAAATGTTTTCTGGTTCTGCATCTTGGTCATTTGTTTGAGCCGTATGTTGTTTCTGAGGCATGGTGAGGTCATAGTTGTATGTAATTGATGATTGCGTGTTGATGTGTTCTTAGGCTCTCACCAACTGTCTCCTGTGGATGTTAGAGGATGGAAATGTGCACACTGTTACCATTTGCTGTTTAGTGTGGGTTTGACTGGTGTTGGTTGCTGTCTATCGTTGTTGAGGTGGTAGAGGAGCTAGCACTGGCTCTTACCCACTGGGTGGAGCTGCAGAGGGGACAGTTGTGGCTGGGCTGAAGGGCTGTGTGGGCACGGTTACTGTCTCCTGTCGAATGGGAAAGAGAAAGCCCCTCCCACACACACATACAAGAAAACAAGACAGAATAAGCAAACAAGGAAACAATGAAAAGAGAAAATAGTAAAAAGAAAAAGAAATGAAAACAGGCAGCAACCAGAAAAAAAGAATATAATGATTATGAAGACAAAAGAGGAACAGGGAAATGGAGCGCTAGAAGAGAAAAATAGGAGAGAAAATAAAAAGGAGAAAAGTTTAAAGCTACTTAAATAAAAAGAAAAAGGGAGCTATAACGAGAAAAATAAGAGAGGAAATAAAAGGAACAAATTTTAAAAAGCATTTGGGAAAACCCGAGAGAGGAAAAATAAAAAGAGACTAAAGATTAGTAAAGAAAGATTAAAAGGGCAAAAAGAAGAGGAGAAATGAGAAACAGAAGGAAAATAGGAAAAACAAACATGGGAATAGAAAGGATAGAATTCCAGGGAATGGAAAGAGAAGGAGGAGAAAGAATAAAAACAATGAAACATCAAAAGGTGAAAAAAAACAACAACAGTGCAGTTAGTTGTAGGACCTGGAGAGGAGAAAACTGGGGTCTCCTGCAAGCCAAGGAGCTCAGGAAGTGGGTGTGGGAGGCCTCCTGACTCTAGATGGAGTCCTATCAGCCTCTGTTATCTAGGTTCAGGGCACTCAGTTGGAAGTAGTTTGTGGAGGCCATTAATGGAGCTGGTTTCAGTGTCTGTCAGGACTGCAGGACAGCGAGGGGCAGGGTGATTGGTTAAATGCTGGTCTGGTGGCTCTGCGGGTTCTGTAGGTCTCGAGCCGAGCCTGCCTGCATCCAGGCACCAAAGCAGGGTAACCAGCCCCTGCCCACAGTGGTGTGGCTCCCAGCCATGTGGCTCTGAATTCCCAGAAAGCAGGGTCTGTGCTGGGGGTGGATGAGTGTGGGCGTTGGCCACACCGCCAGTCACCAGGAGAGTGTGGGATAAAGAAGGAATTGCATACTTCCCATCACTTGTGTAAATCCTCCCTGTTAGACCTTCTGTTTCCAAAGCTGCTCACAGATGGTGGAGTTGAGTCTGACCATCCAGATGTTCAGGGGTCAGTCTCCCTGTCTTACTGCCCATGCTCAGCTTCTCCTCCCAGGAAGCACTCAATCCACTTCTCTAACCTTTCCTCTGAAGTTCAGGGTTCCAGAGTTTACATCTGTGTCTGTTTCATTTGGTTTTTCATATCTTTGTTGTAGAGGGTCCATTTAGTGTCTGCCTAGTCTGCCATCTTGCCGTAAATCAGAAATCCACTGGAATTTATGTTTTAATGAGCTAGCTATGAGAAACTATAGCTTGAAATGATTCCTTTCATAAAATGTGCTACAGTTAGCCCTTCATTAAACACAGAATCTCTCCAACATGATTTAAATCTGTGGTATTCTTGTCCATGTCAATCCTCGTTATTTGCCAATATCTTTGTTTTGAATAATCCCTGGTCCTCAAGACACTACTGAAAGAAATGATGATATTGCTGTTATCCCATAGCAGGTCAGTCATGGTGAATGTTTAGATCTATGGATGTGAGAATTGGAGTGGGTATTAGTGGTTGAAGTCTGTCCTCTTAACAGAAGAAGGAACCCAGGTCATCGGACTCGTAATGTCCTCAAAGGCATGGAGTCAGTTTTTCACTGCTAAGGCAGTGGATCTTCCCACCCTACAAGTGACCACATCTTTCTCCCAGTGCAATTCAGAATGTGCTCAGGGGATGCCAACTACCTTGTAAAACTCCTGATATAAAAGCATGATGGCTGCCAGGACTAAAATAGAAGTGAGTTCTTCCTTTTTCCTTGTTTTGTATTATCCACCCTGCTGATGTAGACAGTCGTTAACTGGGTAACATTCTCTACTAAGCATTAGAAAGAATCTAAAGAATTAAAAATAAAATCTAATTGAAACCTTAATTATGTATCTGCACCCCAGAAAATATTGATAGCATCGTCTTTAAGGAAATCAAACCTATTTGTTTACAACTATTATTAAATGACCACATAAACAAGTTTTTAGTCTTTTATTTTTACTATCAAATCTATCCCTGATCCTGTTTCACTGAACACAGTGAGACCATGCTTTAATGAGTGTTGCACAAAAAGATGAGAAACAGCAAAAGAAAGTTGTCTGATGTTTGAACAGGATTTCTTTTCTTTGGGTGCTTGCACTTAAAATCCAACAGCCAAATGAGGAAACTGTAAAAGCAAAGCAAACATCTTTTTTACAGATGAACCCTGATACGCTGAAATTTTGCATACATTGTGATTCTGGCTTGACCTTTTGAAACTTGGAGTAACCTAAATGTCACGTCATGCCATCACAAACACCTAAGAAGCTCTTTCATGGACCCTTACTTGGAAAAGACCTAAGATAGTTCATTTCCTACTTGTATGGATCATGGATAAATAGTCTCCTGGATTCTATTCGAAGCCTCCAGTGATGTGAAGTGACTCATTCCAATTTACAAATAGTTCAAACTGTTAGAAATATATACTGCACTAGGAAAAAGATTTTTCCTCTTCTACATGACAGTCTTTGAAGTGTTAGAAGAGACATCTCAGTGTTCCTTGAGTCTTCTTTTCTGCAAACTGAATACATTCTGAGTGCTTCAATAGCATCATATCACTGAAAGGTCAATAACCTGAGACCACAGAAGACTAGAACTGGGAATCAGGGTAGCTAACACTTCTGAGCTGTTTTCCATGGACCAGCCAGTGTGCTGGAATTTTGTACACACATTATCTCCTTTAAGGTTTCCCAACAAACCAGTGAGAGTGTTACTGTGAGGGGACTTTAAGAAAGTTCATGGAAAAGCTTCATTAGCTTTCAATTCTATTTTTCTGAGAACTTTGTGAAGCCCTTCATATTATTATCCCCATTATAGAGATGGGGAGATTAAGACTCTGAGACATCACAGAGCTGGAAGTGGTAGAATCCAGATCTGGCTGACTCCGAAGCCCATTCTCTCAGAACATGGAATGTGGTTTCAGTAATGTAGAAACACAGTGCTAGAAAAGTAGAGTGACCTTCCTGGGGTTCAATTCACGCCTGCCTCCCCAAGCAATGCTCTTCCCTGGACCTCCCTGAGACTGGAGGAGGTGGTTTCCAGGTTCCAATATGTTTCCATAGTTGACGGTGAAAGCTGGCCCTCCTCATGGTAGTTGAACAAGCATTTGTTAGACACTTACTGTGTCTTGAACATTTATTTTAATTCAGAAGCTGGGGTGATACCAGTGTGACAAGGCCAGATTTTAAGAATTTTTCTCTACATTAAACAGCTAAAGGCCGTTCAACACATTTTGTTGAGGTTTTGTGCCAAAACAGTGATAATACTTAAAGTTTTTTAGCAAAAAAAAAAGAGAAAATAAACTGCAAATAATTTGTTTAGAATTCAGTGAGTGATCTTCAGCACATTGTAGTCATTTTAGAATCCATCCTACATACTGACTCCTGTCATTCTGCTGAACTCTCAAACACTCACTTCATTGCATCATAACTGCCACTCAAGCCTTTGGGAGCTCTCAATTAATTGCCTGTAAGAGGAAATTTAAGTGACTCTAGCCTACCTTTCAGCCTTCCTTTTACAAACTGCAGAGCCAGGCTGCTTTCTGCTTGAAATACCTTCCACTTCTGGTTCCCTAGTCCAGTCCAGCACAATTTCAAGTTCCACTTTCTCTTCTTTGAATTCTCACAGCAGCTACTGCCAGCACTATTTATCATAGAGCACTCATATGCATGTGAAAGCTGGACAGTGAATAAGGAAGACCATAGAAGAATTGATGCATTTGAGTTATGGTATTGGAGGAGAATATTGAAAGTACCATGGGCTGCCAAAAGAACCAACAGATCTGTGTTGGAAGAAGTGCAGCCAGAGTGCTCCTTGGAGGCCAAGATGGCTAAACTTAGTCTCTCATACTTTGGACATACTGTCAGGAGGGACAAGCCGCTGGAGAAGGATATCATGTTTGGTAAGGTGGAGGGTCGGAGAAAAAGAGGAAGACCCCCAGGGAGATGGATTGGCCAAGTGGCAGCATCAATGGGCTTAAGAGTGGCAACAATTGTGAGGTTGGCCCAGGATCAGGCAGTGTTTTGTTCTTCTGTGCTTATCATAAGGGCTCTGAGTCGGTACTGACTCTATGGCACCTAACAACAACAACAACAACAATAGATAGAGCTGTGCATGTATGAGGGGACTTCAAAAAGTTCATGTATAAATGGGATTAAAAGATACTATGGTTTTTTTGAAGCCCCTTCCTATAAGGACCCAGTCCTGCCGTGTAAGTCATTTAACCCCTATTTTCCCTAACTCACAGGAGACTTGCAATAAAAATCCCTCACATGATTTCAGAAAGGTGAACTGTAGAATTCATTTTCAAAAGTGGATGTCAGTGGTTCCTTGTGCTTTCGAAAACATTAAAAAAAAAAAAAAAGGTGGTTTATGAAGTTGAAATAATAGAGTTGAAGCAGGCAAGTTAATTATTCTTTTAGTGAAGGCATAAGACATATGTGTTATAAACAGAATTTTTATAAATTCGATAGTATCTGAATTTCTGGGATAGGATCACTACAGAGACATGGAGGCTCTGTAGATCTTGCTCCTTGAGACCTCGAACCAGGTTTTGTTTAGATTTGTCTCTCTCCAACACTTAGCACAAAGCCTGGCCCCTACTAGTTAATACATTTAGTGGAAGGAATTAGTGCGTGAATGAGTGAATTTTTAATAAGATTATCCAAGGACAAGATAGATGGTGTCCTTGGGGACTGGGGAGGGCTTCATTTCAAGAAGGGTCAGGCATAGTTTGAAGACATGGTTGAGCTCACTTTAATGTCTTGCCTGACCCTGGTAGTCTCATTCTGTGAAATGCCATAAGGGGTTCAATAAAGTATAAAATATCTTTTTAGATAGTTACATTTTTTAAAAGAAGAAAAATACTCCTGGACTTGATCAGCTTTGCAAATTTGAATTCTTGCCTGTTTAATGGATTTGGGGCTTTTCTAATTCAAGCTGTAAATGCTATGCTGCCGAGTAAATGGTTGTGCTCAGCTGCAAGAAAACAAATCAGAAGATTGTGGGCCTGGGGGTGGGCGGACCCCAACTATTCTCCAGAGCTGCCACAACACATAACACACATCTGTTGTGTCTTTGGAGCCTAGCCGACATCAATTCAAATTCCTCTTGTTTTGTTTACTAGCTGTATAATTTTAGTCAAGTTACTTAATCTCTATAGGCCTCAATTTCCTCATCTATAAAATGGGGATACTTATTTTTGTGCCAAGTTGTTGTGACGATAAAATCAGATAATGGTGAAATTCATCTAGCACAAAACCAGAAATAGCAGGTCCACAATCAATGAGAGCTCCTATACTTACCCGTAGTCCTGTGGTTGGCTAAAGCTCTAGGCAGAGACTTCTGTGCAATGCTTTGCATTTTACTGAATGTTGTTAAAGACATTTTTACTTCGTTTGATCTTCAAAGCAACCCAGTAAGGCAGAACAAAGATAATTCTGATTTCCCCAATGAGAGAGGTCAAAGGAATTGGCTAACTGATAAATTACAGACAGGAGATTAGAATCCAGTCTGCTAATCCCAGGAGACTAGAATCCAGTCTGCTTTCCTTCACCTGCTACTGCAGTGGTAGACAGGGCTCTCAGCTTTTCTTCATTTGTTCAGCAAAGATCTATTGCCCTTCAAAGTTTTTAGTTGCATAATTGGCCGGTTTTGGGTATCCCTGATTGATTAATGTAATGGCTGCTATGTAGTTAGTTATTGTTAAGTGCCGTGAGTCAGTTCCAATTCACAGTGGCCTTGTATAATGTTTCCAAGGAATGACTGGTGAGTTTGAACTGCTGACCTTGTGGTTCAAATGGACCTTGCGGTCCTGTGCTTATCCTATAGTACCACACCAGGACTGGTATATAGTAGTTGCTCAATAAATACTTGTGGAATGAATGAATGGATGAAACCAGGTTTCAGAGTTCTTTCACTAGGCTATTATGCTGCAGCAACAACACTTGCCATGGTAGGGGACTGAGAGAGGCCACTGGGAGAAGCCAAGTTCTAGCAGGTTTGGACAGAAACGGATGCAAGATGAGGCAGGTTATATGCGGCAATATGGATGGCTCTCAGATCAAAAAGAGTATATAAGTTGGTTCCCATTTACATAAAATTCTAGAAAATACAAACTAGTCTATAGTGACAGAAAGTAGTTCCATGTTTGCCAGGGGATGGGATGGTTGGGGAGGATACAGAAAGGAAGCTTCAAAGGAGCATGGGGAAACATTTGATGGTGGTGAGAACACTAATTATCTTGAAGGAGGTGATATTTCCACAGAAGTGACATAGATCAAATCATACACTTTAAATATGTACAATTGATTATATGGCAATTATTCTTCAATAAAGCTGGAGGAAAAGAAGCAAAGAGGACTAGAAGGAGGAGGAGATAGGAAAAGAAGTAGAAGATGATGATGATGGCAGTGGTGAAGGCAGTGGGGTAGGGGCAGGTTCTCTCTGCTTTGCCACTAGATGGGTTCTCTCTCCTGCAGTGGGCCACCTCTTGGCATGCTGGTGGGAGAGAGGATTGACCCAGGATGCCAAAGACCCAAGGCTTGACTTTCAGGTCTTGTCTCTGCCGTTGACAGAGGAACGATGCTGTCGTCCCCAACTTCCCACTTTACTTCTAACCTGACAATATTGATCCATGCTGGCTCAGCTGACATGATCACCTAAGGCCACTCACTTCAGAGTGCTTTGTGAACTGTAAGGTCGTGAGATGTCAGGGAGCAAGTGCTGACCTTTGTAGACCCCTCATGACAAATAATAATGCAACACAGATACTCTCAGTGACAGCTATGGTATTAGACTCTGTCTCTTTGCTTAAGGACCTCAGGCTTCTAGACTTCAAATTGTCTGTGTCCCATCAGTCACAATTTAACAAGAGTTGTGTTCGAGATTTAGCTCTGTGACTTGCTCATTGTGAGATCTTGGGCAAGTCATTTCTCTACTCTGATCATCTGCCAAATGAGGACTTGGACTTTCATAGCCCATTGGGTTCCTTCTGACTCCTAATAGCCTTTGTTTCTAATGACTCTGCCACTATGTGACTCCACATGGGGAGGGGAAAGCGTGATAATCTTTGACTTTGATGACCTTGAGGCATCAGGGAAATATGATCATCTTTAACCACCTCGTGGTATATATATATATATATATTGTTGTTGTTTAGTACTGTGGAGTCGGTTCTGACTCATAGTGACCCTGCACAGGGTTTCTGAGGCTGTAAATCTTTATGGGAGCAGAAAGCCTCATCAAGCCTCATCTTTCTCCCACGGAACCGCTGGTAGTTTCGTACTGCTGACGTTGAGGTTAGCAGCCCGATTCGGAACTACTACTCTACCAGAGCTCCATATATATATATGAATCGGGCTGCGAACCTTAAGGTCAGCAGTTCGAAACTACCAACTGCTCCGCGGGAGAAAGATGAGGCTT